AAAAAAAAAAAAAAAATTCTCTCTCTCCCTATATATATATATATATAAATAAGTGCAGTATGAATTGCCCATAAATATGTTATCACACAGCATATATGGGGTAGATAGATGTATTTATACATTAATAATCAAAGTTTGAAATGCCACCTACATAAATTCATATTTATACATGTACATTACATATGTAATAAATTACATTTTAAATAGCATAACAGAATAACAGACAGTTCATCGTAGCTTATTTTATAATTATCTGAAAACAGATCATTTCAGCTTGTTTATCATAATTTTGTGGCGCTGTAAGATAAAACTGCAGAGGTCAAATTGATGGTCAAATTGAACTTAGTTTGCCCAAATAGTTGAGGTAAAAATGTATTCTACAAACTGGAGAATAAATAGTCATAAATAGGCAAAACAACAATAATGATAATAATAATAGTTTGTTTTGTCACACAATTTGTGTTGGACTAATAAAATTCTGTGTGACTATTGCATTTTGTAATTCAGTAAATTTCTCATTCTGTTATTCCACTTCAGCTTCCTGTGTGGTGTGGTGTGGTCTGAATTGAATTCAGGAGTTAAAATTGTGAATTTTGCCCAACACTCAGGCATAGTTATTAGTGTTAATTTCGTCAGCTATTTTCAATTTATTCTTAGTCTTAGTCCCGGGCTAAAATGTCCTTGTTAGTTTTTATCATATTTAGTCAACCTTATCCTATTTAGTTTTAGTCAAGTTTTAGTCGACTAAAAGTCTCAACATTTTAGTCTAGTTTTAGTCCAAGAAAACCTGAAGTATTTTAGTCTAGTTTTAGTCAATGAAAACTTGACATTTTAGCAATAAGATTATTATTAATTAACCGTACAGCAGTATTAATTTTGGCAGCCATTTTTAATTTAGTCTTAGTCTTACTCAAATGTACATTTTAGTTATCATATTTAGACAACCTTGTCCTGTTTTTGTTTATTCAATGAAACGTATGAGCATTTTAGTCAGGGTTTTAGTCAATGAAATCTTAGTCACATTTTCGTCATTCTGTATAATGGTTAAACTGATAAAAAATGATTTTTTTCTCAAAAATTATAATCGTAATGTTTGTTGTCATTTGAGAAATTTACTTTTGCATTTCAGGTATTGCACTTTCTCCAGTAAGCACAAATCAATAGAATGTGGACATAGGCTATACATGGTGGAGCTATTTTACTTCATCTAGTGTACTGATTTATTATAGGCTTTTTATTATATAAATTAATACCAAAGACTTATGCAATCTCTCGGTCTACATTATGAAAACAGCTAAAACAAACGAAAAATATTATAACAGTGAAATTAGTAATTCTACTAATTCCAAATTGCAATAGCCTATTTCTCTATTAATACAACAGCGGTTGAGAAAGTGTATTTATTCAGCGATCACAATCGCAAACAATATAGTCGAGTTCTCATGACAGAACACAGACCGTATGAATGATGCTTTCAATTAGATCGATAAACTCCAGCTTGTTTGTTTTTCAGATCATCAGCGGAGGCGCTTCCGCAATGAGGAGCGAGCGCTTGCGCATGGTTGCCAGATTGCTTAAATTAAGCAAAACACCGGGCAGAAAATGTATCCTTGAAAACAGCGGAGCTCTGATTCGGGGATTTGAACTTGGTATCTGGCAACCGCACTCATGAAAGCTCGCCTAGCAGAGGCGTGTAGAGCTGTGCGCAATAACATGTTTTCTCCTTTTTTTGACGAAAATAAAAAGAGGTTTTTGGTAAAGTTGTTATCTTTTTGAATACATTTTAGTCTCTTCTTATTTCGTCAACGAAATTGCATGTTGATATAGTCTTAGTTATCGTTTATTGACCTTATTATCGTCTCGTCTTAGTCATGGGTGAAAAAGCTAGTCAACGAACATTTTTCGTCATAGTCTTCGTTAACGAAATTAACACTAATAGTTATGATGACTTTAGTTTGTGCAGTGTCATGGTTGCAGTGGATGAAGTGAGCAATGGATCTCTCCAGTATTAACAAGGCCTGCTTTGTGAAGGTCCAGTCTCCTGTCCCAGAGGCCACTACTGGGGAACAACAGGCCTCTTTCAAGGCACTGGTAAAACAGGCATTGCTCCGCACGTGAAGTAGAGCACATGCAAAACGCCCAGAGCGATAGAAGCACAATGTGATATCATTCTGAGTTCTCAATGACCTGTATCATGGCAGTTCATCTCGCACGGTCATGCTCATTCAAATATGAGAAGCATGTGGATTTTGAATGCAAGGAAGAAAAAAAAAAGTTGTAGGTTTTAAAAACAAAAGCTGAAAAAAAGCAATCTGATCTTGCCAAATCAAATCATAATTTCCTGAGAATTTTTTTTTTTATCTAATAGAAATTGACAAAAAAAGTATATATATATATATATAAATAATATTAAGCAACCCTTTTCAACATTGTTAATAATAAATATTTTTTTCTTGAGCACCAAATCAGCATATTAAAATATTTCTGATCAAATAAATGCAGCCTTGGTGAGAAGACTTCTTTCAAAAACTGTAAAACATGTTACCGGTCCCAACCCAATCTTTTGAACAGTAGAGTAGATGTTAAACACATCATGCCTACATGTGATTCTTTGATTATTTGCTTTGCTAGAACGACAGACTGGCAAGATATAATTACGGCAAAGCCTGAATGCTTCAGTGTCTTGTCTTTTAAAAAATAAGTTATTAAAATAAATAAATACATCTATTAAAACAGTGCTTCTTTGAAGAACGCCACATTCAAGCTCAAGAAAGTCTGTCAGTTTTCTTGCTGACATTGCGCATAAGTCCTCTGTCATGGGAGTAAACTAGATACTTGAGCTTTGACAACAGCATAAGAGCTCACTAAGAGCTGACACGCAGGCAGACAATCAAGATAATGGCTCAGTAGGCAAATGCAGCTGTATTAAAACATGGCACAGAAATAATGCAATCAGGGTTTAAAAATGTCAAGGTGTCCAGGTAACATGACCCAGACTGTGTCCTTGTTGCAGTGTAATCACACAAATCCATACTGCATGATATTAATTAACAACTTATACACACACAACAGGTTTAAGGTTAGGGTTTGGATTAGTGTTTGCTGCTTGTAAATATGCATAATTTATTGTTATTACTATAATTAGTGCATGCAATGTGCAACAAGGACACATAAAAAAATGCTACTCTATTTTGTGTGACATTACTGTCATGACAATTAAGTACAATACAAAAAATTATTTTGGTTCTAAAACATCTTTAATTTATTTTCTTTTGATTTTGGGGTGAAATATGACCTACACATGTTTCTGACAGGTTCTGTCAGATTCGCTCAATCAAGCAAGCAATGGTCAGAATATCTACACTTTAAAGTGTTTGTTAGATGACAATGTTTTTGTAAATTTTGTGCCAGCAATAAGCATGAGCAAACTGTAGTACAGGGACATGTTAAGTGAATCCATTTATCCTTTCTGCTACTTTCCACGCAGATAAGCAAATCTTAAGTGTATAGGGCTCAACATGATATGCAATGCCTGAAAATGGCAGCAGGGATGTAAAACAAAGGATTAAAGACCTTCTGTAATAATAAAGTTCTTGTGCAAGAGAGTGCACTGTTGTTAAAAATAAAAGAAAATTTATCCACCACCCTTGCAGAACTAATATAGTGAATAAACCGTATGACACTCCCATGATCAATAAGATGCTGAACGGATCATAAACATCTAAACATGACAACAAGGGAAGAAACTATGTAAATCTTAAAAGTCAACGCTTTGCAAATCTCTGTTGTGAAAAAAAAATTATGACAGAATAATTCCATGTTTGATAGGCCAAGGAAAAGCAAAAATGTTTCACTCTAAATGCAGAGCATTCTACGAATTTATTGACAAACGGTGTCTCTTGAAACGGTTGAGCTCCTCAACCTGATATTTGACAACACAACCAAAAACACAAGACATACTGCCCTAGTAAAAAACTTTAAATCAGGCCATTTTTCTGTAAGCTACAATTCATTTTGAATGGTACTGAAAAGCCATTGTTGAGAGTATAACTGAAAGCAGACAGTAATTTGACATGAATGGGTTATAATTTAAGAGAGGCGTCTTCAGTAACACTGCTGTGTTGAATGCCTGCTTGACCAAAATGTACTACAAAGGCCAGACAATGAGGTAGGTACAATTCACTACCTATAAACCTTAATTAAGGGTCAGTCAACACAATTACAGCAGGCATCTCAAAGCCAAACTGGCTAATTTGAGGTATTTTGCCTCTTTCCCTTTAAGAGAGACACTCATATTAGTTAACTGCCTAAACCCTCTAGTGTTCTACCACTGTGGCATCTGAGTGTTCTAGATTTGGGGACTTAATACTTATTAATGACCCATGCATTTCACTTTTCTAACAGATCCTTAATGACATTCCCCCTAATGAATAGTTAAGATCAGAATGGAATACTAGCTTATTACGTACTGAATACTGTGCAGAACACACTGTATATTTAGAAGCCATTATACCACGAACAAAAAAACAGTAGTATGACTACAATGTTATCACATGACCTCATCACAATGCAGCGAGTGATTCATTATCTTGAAAATAATAAAAAATTTTTGCTTATTTTAAAACTTTTTTTTTTACAATTTTGAGGAAAACCGTCCTAATATTTGTCACCAAAAAAAAAAATGTTAAAGTAAAATTATAATAACAATACTAAGTGGGTAAAAAAGACATCAAATTGTAAATATAAGTTGAGTGTATTGCATTATGCGATGCAGCATTTCACACAGTAAGCTCTGTTTTATACTGCACATTTTTCCAAGTGTAGTAGGTTAGTTGGGTATTCGCAGCACACTGAGAAAATGCATATTATGCAATGATGTATATACTATACACTGCAGAAATAGCAAGAATGGCATGCTATTCCGAACACAGCCAATGATCTGACACAAAGCAGTGGTTCTCAATCCTGATCCTGGACGACCCCAGCACTGAACATATTGGATGTCTTTCTTTTTTAACTCATTTAATTTATATCATCAACTTCTTAGTAGAGGTCTCAAGACCTGTGTTTCAGATAAGACAGACATTTAGGATGGAGAACCACTACTTTGAGCAAACTACAAAAAAGGTAATCTTTGGAATGGTTCCAAAACGCTTCTTGTTGTGACTGTTTAGCATATCTGGATTTAAGAATGAGAACATGTGGGTGACTAGTGACAAGGACAGGGGTCCCAGTGGGTGCATTTTAACTATATACATGCATCGTTTAAATATAGGTTTTTGTCAATATACAGCTGCTTCAAGATCATACTCTTATCAGTTTTCTTATCAGATTGTATATAAAACTGTCATAATATATTTCATGTGGACATGACATGACAACGTCATAGCATCCTAATGTCACACTGCTTACCATATGCTACATGAAACGGGCTACATTCGTATATTAAGACAGTTACAGTCGTCTTCGTTTTAAACTATGTTGTTCACTAAACTATTGTTTGCTATGACAGTCTGGTGGGCCTGAGAGAGAACTTATAATGCATTTCAGGACAAGCTAAAAGCTACATTGTGGTTGACTTTAACTCAAAACGTCACCAATTTAAAAACAATCGGGATAAAATAAAAAACAATCATATTGTTTCCAGCTCCAGCTTTCTTTTTTTCTGTAATGGGAGCGATCGTGGTGAGTGAAGATGAGAGATAAATGGCTAAACATCGACTACAGAGAACTACTAACAAAATAAAGCAAAACAACGGCAACCTCGCGGTCTTTCAAGCCCAGCAGCAGTACTTCCTCCATCAGGGTCAGTCTGGTTTCCTTGGAATCACCGCTGTCATCGTCGTCCTGCTCGTCTCCACGGCGGGGCTCGTAGTCCTCGTCGCCGGATCCGCGGTCTCGGTCTGCGGCTGCAGCGCTGCGCGAAGCCTCGGTGCGTCTTTGCACCAGGCCGGAGCTCCGCTGGGTCAAAGTACTCATCTCTCAAACACACTAGAACTAAATCTCCTTCCCAGACAACTCCTGTCTGAGAACAGACTGGCTTATTCAGTCCGATGCATAAATGATACCCGGGGTGAATAAGGGGAATGGAGGTGTAAATCGGGATTTGTTTTGGAGAGGGGCCCCTCGCGATCCCAACCGCGGAGCGTCGCTGATTCCGTCAGGTTTAATATGGCGACCAGCCGAGACGAGAACAGCAGTGGATGTGGCATCTCGACACTCTGTTTGTATAAATACCTTTCATTGATCCAATTGTCTAAGAACAAAAAAAAAGCTTTAAAAACTTTCTGTTTGTAACTCTTTTCCTATCTTTAATGAATGACATGTAAGTCTCAATTTGTTTTGTTTTTTCAGTTTGTAATGTATTAAACATCCCCTTTTTCTTTTTTATTTATTTATTCTTTTTATTTTATTTTGTTGTCATTGTCTATCATTTTTATATGTTGATGGTTGTATTACTGTTTGTATACTGTTTTTGAACATTAATTAATTAACGTTACAGGGTTCCCACACCTTGTTTAACTTCAAATTCAAGGACCTTTCAAGGACTTTCCAGGTCCAATACCCTCAAATTCAAGGACTTAATCAGGGTGTCTACAGATATGAACAAGTTAGATTTAAGACTTTTTAAGACCTTTTTAATATGAAATTTAAGACCAAACCTCTGATGGAAATCACACATTATTTTAAAGGGGTCATATGATGCTGCTAAAAAGAACATTATTTTGTGTATTTGGTGTAATGAAATGTGTTTATGCGGTTTAAAGTTCAAAAAACACATTATTTTCCACATACTGTACATTATTGTTTCTCCTCTATGCCCCGCCTTTTTGAAACGCGTCGATTTTTACAAAGCTCATCGATCTGAAAAAGCGAGGTGTGCTGTGACTGGCCAGCTATCCAGTGCGTTGTGATTGGCCGAATACCTCAAGCGCGAGACGGAAATGTTACGCCCCTCACCATACTGTGATGATGCCCTGTCCGGCCGGAGCGACGAGACATAAACATAAAACCCATTACAAACGAGGCATTCGTTGCATCCAGTAGGGACATAATTATGGATTATAATGACTTATACTGTCTTTTTACGCGTTGCGTTGCATCGCGCCGCGTAAACATAAAACCATGTCTGCATTTGTGATCAGAGAAATGACAAACAACAAGTGCTAACGTTAATCCACACTGCCCAAAACTCGCGTTTGAATCATCAGTGGCAAATGATAAAAGAAAACGTACTTACGTGAGTCAGAACTGCCGGCATTTTAGCCTCAAGCGTGAGACGGAAATGTTACGCCCCTCACATACTGTGATGGCATGTCCCAGCCGGAGCACAAAAACATTAAAACCCATTACAAACCAGGCATTTGTTGCATCCAGTGGGGACATAATTACAGATTATAATGACTTATACTGTCTTTTTACACGTTGCGTTGCATTGCATCGCGCCGCGTAAACATAAAACCCTGTCTGCATTTGTGATCAGAGAAATGACAAACAACAAGTGCTAACGTTAATCCACACTGCCCAAAACTCGCGTTTGAATCATCAGTGGCAAATGATAAAAGAAAACGTACTTACGTTAGTCAGAACTGCCGGCATTTTAGTCTAACGTTACTCTCCCAGGATCAGGAAACAGTCCTCCATAAAATGCGCTGCACACATCTGAATATTTGGGTTGAACTGTTCTGGAACAGTGTTGTAAATACAACTTAACCACTGATTTGTAGTCGTGTCCTCTTTTGGAAGACCAAACAAAGTAGTTTCGCTTTCACAACGAAAAACACAGCGGCCTAGCATGAGCGAAAGCCCCGGCTTAGC